CTTAACAAAACATACAAGCTATCAGCAACTTAAATGTAGATGTTAGAATGGGGAACTAAAAGTGAGACAACTTAATAAACATTTGTATCAGTATCTATAGTAGATGTTGCCTAAAGTTTTCATTGAAGGAGGTGAGGTTGTGTGCCAAAGTTGCCTACTTCAAATACATTATGAAAGAAGTTGAGGCCCTCATTTTTCGAAGCTCTTTGGTTTGTGTACGAATCTTTCGATTTTGTGAGGCTCTGTTGACAGTTAGTGAATAGTCCTCCTTTCCAGGGTGTCCGCGTATTTTAGGAGTGGTTCCATGTAGGGTCTTCCCTTGTCATTTTCTGTATTTAGCGCTTCGGCTGGTGTGGTTTTATCTTTCCCTCCTCTTTGAATAGACTTTTTTTCCATGGCTCGGTTTGAAACTGTACATGGGGAAGGGCGATGCCTTCTTTGACCCAGTTTGATTCTCTTATCTGGATGGGGCTAAAGTTTTTAGCCTCAAAATTAGAGGATCGAGTTTCACCTTTTGAGCCCAGACTTCCTTAGATAATATAATTCTATAAGGCTTATACCTAAGCTGCTTTAACTGAAGAAGACAGCGAATCGCACTTTTTTAGTCACTACTGTTGAGGGGTCAGCTCCTATTGGTTGACATTATTGGCCCGCCTCGGCAATTATATGCCTTAGCACCTCTTTCTATAAGAGAAGTTAATCCGAGGTGGCCAAAATTGGCGCTTATTTTTTCAGATGAGGCCTTTTATCTTTCTCATGAGGGTAATTCTTAAGACTTCCATCTCCTAACTATACCCTTTGTCTAGGATGGGAAAGACAGCGATTCACTTTTCTATGGGGTTTATGTCCTTAGTTTACCGACCTGTTGCGAAGGTAGGCTCATGTCGGCCAGGGTTGTGAAGTTCGACTGGGTGGTTATATGTCTTAGCCTTTCTTTCTGTAAGAGGACTTCGCCTGTGGTGATTTGTTTTTTTATGGGGACATTTCCCTGGGCTTATGCCTTTTCTTTTCGCATGATCAATCTTTGATTGGTCCACATTAGAGCTAGTACAACTCGTCTTTCAAGCCTGTTCCTAGGCGGGGGATGCATGTATCTATGGGCGAACTCATTTGCAGTTCCCAGTTGAGGTTGTCCATGCTGATTTTCCTCTAACAAGGAATTGAATAGATGTGGTCGATTCAAGGATATAGGAGGGCACTTGGGCCAAACGGGTAGAATGGAGGGCCAATCCTGTCTGTTTATTGAAGGATCGAGCCTGTCAAAGACACTGGCCTGTCTCCTTGACACGTTAGCTCTGCTACATTCCAATGGAACGGCAGTCTCCTCAATTATTCGGCCGATGATGTAGTCGGTAACCATGTCCACATCCACCTCTCTTTCTAGTGGAACAACCTCCTCATTTTGTGAGGAGTTGGCCAGTTGACTAGCATGCGCTCCAGTAGTTTTCACATTGCAGCGTTTTGCCGGGAGATGATCCTTACGTTTGTGGTGACGGCGGCCAACTCTCTAATGAACCTTGCTGCTAGCCTGTGCCTGCGCTTTGAGCCACTTCTTTGGTAGTGGACCGTAGGGGTGGTTGGCAGTGACTCCTGGATTATTGAGGCACTCTGCGAGGATGTCTCGTCGCCAACACGTTCTTTAGCCCGTCTTGGTGCGATTTCTTTCTTTGTTGGACTCATGGCTATCCCTTCTTAATGGATAGCCTTTCTTTGGCTCCATTTCTGGAGTTGTTTTCCTTTATTCAAGGATTTTTGTTCTTGATCTTTTTTTGAAAACTCATATTTCATTACCTTTTTCAATGGGATTCTCGTGTTCCAAGATTTTTCACAGACGGCGCTAATCTATTGACCTCCGAAAATGGCTGAGATTGTGTACACATTGACCCATTTTGTAGTATTTCTACTGTAAATGAGTTTGTAGAAGAATAAGAAGATAAAGACAATGTATTGTGTTCTCTTTTCTATTCAAGGATCCATCCTTTAAACAATACAAGAATTGGCTATTGATATGATCAGGTCGACGTGGTTATCATTATATTGGATCCACGTGGCCTGATCTGTCGACTCTTTGTGTCATATCAACTCTATTCCACATTAATTATATTGATAGACTTTTAACAGGAGATCGGCCACTTTATAAACCTAGGCTGACATCCTTGACAATCATTAAATGTGCACGTTACATCAATCAGTTCTAGAGACGTCTCGACTAAACTTGCCAAGGACCTCAAAACCCTTAGGAGTCCGACAGCAGAAGGTAAACCACCTCGGAAGGAAGGATAGGGCCACTTCAGCTATTCTCAGTAAAACAACCTCGACGCTCAATGTAACAGCTTCGGATGTTAATCTCTTTTGCATGATTGCCATGTGTCCAAATATGAGGACCTCCATGTGGGTCATTTCGTGTGGTTAGTAACAAAGCACAATGACCCAGATGCGACTTCAAATTTTCAACCATATACCTTTATCAATTGCATAATAGGTTAACATAGTCTGACAAATGGCTTATTTACCCATAGTTAACACTTGCATTCTCACATGATTCATCAACATTTTTGGGCTTTTGGATGCCTATCCCATCAAATATTTTTAGTTTTAATCAATTTTGAAGCTACATGGAGATAATTATGGAATACGTATGCAGTAGAAAACATGGAAAGGACTAAGGATAAATATTCGCAATTCAAGTAAAGCATTTTTTAATGGACATTTTGTCAAACAGTTGGAGATCCCACGAAATCACAAAACGAGGTACAACAATTTGATTCCTTAAGCCATCAAACATTGCCATCCACTATAAAACTATTAGTGATTTATTGCAATGCAGCCAATATTTCCGCACACGAAGCCCGCAATGGCCACGATTCTATGCAATGGCATAAAAACCTCACAAATTAATGATTACAACATCTCCCTATAGAATAGCATAACAACCATACAAAACGAAAAAAAGTTAAAAAATCTCGTCAATTTTAAAGAACCAGATAGTTGACTGTACCTTGGACGTTGCTGTCATGCCGCCGCCAATAAAGAAAATGAAAATTCAGTTCTTTGGAGATAGCTAATAAATTGCCAGATGATCACTTAACAAAAAATGTTCAAAATCACATGAAAAAAGTAAAAATTATCTTATTTTAGAAATGATCACTTTATTGTGCGACTCATAAGTCATCTATTATGAAGGTATGGCTAAGTTCCACCATCCATGTCTGTTCTTTTCCATTCAAATAAATTTATAGAAAGGTTTCTCTTTAAATCAGATTTGTTCCTTCTTCACTCTTCTATTTTTTCATAGTTTATTTTTCTACAAAAAAAAAAAAAAAGAACGTGTAAAATTTAAATTAACATTTGAAATTGTTCTTACCTGAATGGAACAAAATGGACTCTCTGGTCATCATCTACTTGTACAAGCTCTTCTTCCTGCCGTTTCTCTACAATTTGCAAGAAGTTTGATGAATTTTCCACTGTATCATCAATATTATAATCATTACTAATATTATCGTCATTACTATCCATTGTTATATATTTGTATAAATCTATAGAGTTAATGAAAGAGAAAGAAAATGGTTCAGAAATAGCAGAAGAGATTTGCAGAAATGCCCATGAGAGAGAAATTTGATGGATTTGCAGAGAAACAGGAGAGCTTTTTCTGTGAAAATAAAATATGGAGTAATGCAAATTTCAGTTAATAACCACTTGAGTGCAGACAGCCACATTTCACTATGGATCAAAGCATAGACCCGACTAGTTACTCTGACTTCACCATTTACACCACTGTTCAAAGATGAATCATTCTCTTTACTCAAGTTAAATGCAATGTCTGAATTGAATATCTTCATTGCTTTCCCATCTGGTGTTGTTGATGACACCCGCACAGCGCGGAGACAATATCTGGAATGTCCGGAGTCTCTGCTCAGAGCGGAGATGCATCTCGGCGTGCGGAGTCTTCGCGCTATACTGAGACCCATTTCCACACATGACGAGTCTTCGCACATAGTGCAGAGTGTATATCTCTGCACATTCACTCTCCTCGCCACACATATATGCACTTCTTTCCCTGCCACCGTATTCAAATTTGACTAAATTAAATTTTTCAAAATTCGATTCGATTCAAAAATATAAAAGCAAAAGAAAGTCATCGCATAACTTACATAAACCAACCGATCAAGCCTGTAGAATTTAAGCCTACAACTGGTTTTTGATTTTTGGATTTGAAAAGAGAAGAAAGAAAGAATAAAGGGAAAGAAGATGAGGAAGAAGAGTATTAGAGGAATGGTAGAATGGTAGATTGACTGAAAAAATAGAGAAAAATAGTACCAAGAAGCCTCACACTTACAATGGGAACGAAATAGGAACAAAAAAAAAAAAAAAAAAAAAAGGATGAC